AAAAAAAAAAAAAAAAGCAACGAGAGAGAAAATGGATGAGGACGAGGCAGAGAGATGAGAGGGGGGAGTTAGGAACCAAAGACAAAGATGAGGCGGCAATGCAGCCGAGAGCCAAATCACCTGCACTCACCGCCGGTCCAATGGATTCACGGGCGAATTTATTCAGTTGCTCTTGTTGGGGAACAATTCATTCTGTTTGACTTAGTAAGTACAAGACACGCCAGTCTGCGATTGCCACCTCGACCCCCTTCTTGTTCCCGATGGGGTGGAGATCTGATTTCTCCCGATTCTATTTGATCTTCGGTTTGTACGGGCAGAGGAGTAAGCATCCTACGATCTACCAGTCAAAAGTCCCAAAGTCGGTCGGATCATTTCCGTTTTATCTGATGGTTGTTCAATTTCTCTCATTTCCTTGTGAAGCTCTACACAGTAGGCAATACTATTCGACTAGTATCCGTCCCCCTTTTCCGCTGTGGCAAGATCCCATACCAGAACTAAAGGAATTAACTCGGGTGTCCGTTTTTCTTTGGAACCTTAGTTGTCCACCTAATCAACTGTCACGGGTCAGGAATGATCGACCTGTGGAACGCGCTCCATTGGTTCCACAACTCACTTCCCTTCTGATTCGCGATCCATTCTTTCCGCCTCAGGCACTTTGCCTCTGCAAGACAAATTAATGGCCTTAGTGCCTGTCCCGCCCCGGAGTCGCGGGATATGGAACTTTCTCACTCGTGGTAGGAACCAGTCTTCAAATCAGAAAAGTAAAAGTTTACTTTTCTTTTCATTACTTTCCCCCCACCCCCCTTTCCTCGGGTTCCCTGGCAGATTGATTCTGTCTTCGGAGCTTATCATCCGGTTCGCCTCCCTTCTAGAATATCTTACTTCTTCCGATATTACCGAGAAGACACATCTAGTGGGGTTGTGTGCCCGCCACTTCTGGAGCCCGAATGGAGTGTCTGATTCGAGAAGCAGGCAGTGTACCCGCAAGGGACTTCTCAACACACCTCGAGACATTGCATAGAGTTAGAGGATCAGGATCCGTCTCCGAGCGGGCTTCTGGCGTGATACTCGTCTAATCATCGCACGGTCCTGTGTCCGTAGCTTACCCCGCCAGCCACCGTAAAAAAAATGACTCTTTCCCTAGTTCTGAGCCTGGTCAGCTGACTTTGCAGGAGACTGGTCGGCCCGGGCAAATGAGGCTGCAACCATCATTGGGAAGACTACGGTGGCCTCCGCGTACACCTTGACTGCCTTGGCGTCCGCTTTGATCTTTCCCCAGCTGACAGCCTCGTCCGGACGAGCTCCAGCATCGCTTCCATCGAACTCCTGGGCCGTATTTACATAGACCGCATGCTCTGCCCCATTCCGCATGAGGCACGCGTTGGCAATATGGTGCTTTACCACTCCACCGCCGAGGATAATTATCCCTGCGCGGGCGGCCCGGACAGCCATCGTGTTAATGCGACGAACATCATCCACGATATCCACCCGCAGTCGTTGTGGAGAGGATCGGAAAGTGTGGAAATACAGCATGTCTCCCAGGGAGCCATCGGTTAGAGCGGGGCAAAAGATGGGGATGTTGTTGCGCGCAGCCCAGTAAAGCACGGAGTCCTCATGGTTGATCTCGCGGCCTAACCGTTCGATGATACGGCTGGGCGTCCAGTGGAGCTCATCTTCCTCATCACCGGTCTGCTGTGCCTTTTTTTTGGCAGCCTCTTGCTCCTCCAACATTTTATCCAAAATGGGAATCAACCAATCCTCAAAGGCACAGTAATTGCTATTCGGGACGAGTAGATTCCCAATGCGGTTTAATCCTTTCGCACGAAGCCCAGCGCCAGGAGCTGTAAAGGACCCCATATACGTAGGGGCCAAACACTTGATCAAATCCTCCTCTACTCCACCAGCCGTGGTGACAATTGCAGAAACGTGACGATGGCGAACGAGGTAGCGAATGGTGTCCCGGAGGCCCGATGAGATTAGATTTGAAGTGTATCCAAGAAAGATGGTCGTTTTCTCTCCCGATTCCGGATGACGATAGGCTCGCTATATAGGTATCTAATATCAGCAAGGATGCCAATAGCGGATCGCAGAAAAAAAAAATAAGTAGAGGGGTTTACCCTACCATATCGTTCATAATGCGTGTAGCCTCGGCGACTGCGGTACCTTGGAAGCCCATGTATTTCATATTATCCACCATCTCGGCGACGGTAATATCGCGACCTTGAAACTGCTCAAAGTCCACACCCTGAACCTGATGAGTCCCCTCAGGAACGGGCTCCGAAGCAACTAGGACGGCATTCGTAGCAGAGGTGGGAGGGGCAGCCTCCGCTGGATTAGAGGACATTGTCTTGAAAAAGAAAAGGGAAGAGATTGAAGAAAAGGAAATGAAAGCAAGTTAAGGCGATATAGCTCTTGGTTGGATTCTAAAACAAGTGAGTGTTTTATACAAGATCCGAACAGGATTAGGTTTTCTTTTCGTAGGTTTTTTGTGGCTTTTTCTGCTGTAACAATATGGTGGGGTGATTGGCCGGGCAGAAAAAACCACTTGAGGAATGCCTCAGGTGTGACAAGGGGATCGGGGTAGCCAGTCAACACTACTAACCGGGTTTGGTTAGTTTTCGGTCCGTCTGTGCAGCAGTGCTCCATTGAGTGCCTGGGGCATAAACATCATGAACTTAAAAGGTCAAATGGGCGACGAGGCCCTGTGGCCTCAGGCACAATATGAATCCAGGGTCACGGTCACTGTAAGGCCAGTAGTGGGCAGTTATTTTTGAGTTCCCCTAAAGAAGAATCCCTGACCAACTAAAATTAAACCCAACCCATACAGTCGGCGGCAGACGGCTCTCCACCCCATCTGCTAATCCATCCATCCGTTCATCCACCTCTGGCCCCGTTTCTTTTCTCCTCTCTTTTTCTTCATCATTGTCCACATTCTCCTCCTCCGAGCCATTTCTGTTAATATTGTCTTTCTTTTCATTCACTCTCTCAATCTTCAACAGTGGTGGTATAGCTTGTCCTCACTTTCAGACCGGTCCGTGATCTATCGTCGGCTATTATTCCCTGCTATTTTGGCCGAATTTTGATTATCCTGGTTAATTAGCTCCAACTTCCAACAGTTCTCTAGGCCTGTTGTCCGACTATACCCTCCTTGCAGCTATCGTACAGTTGGCTGCTTGACTCGCTGCATTTTGTCAAGAGGTGCGTACTGTTGTAGCGGGGATTTCTTTATTTTTACTTTTTTTTTGTTTTCTTTTTTCCCCCTTTGAATCTTTTTTCTTCTCCCCATTGATTTCTCGAATTTTGGGATCGAGATCATTCATATGCGCACGTAAAAAGGCACGCGGCAGCGATCATTCAATGGTGGACCACAGTACCACGGGCATTTTTACGCATCCAATCCAACGATTCCAATTTTCAGGCAAAAATTTGGATATTCACTCCGTCTCGTTCATCTCCCCTCTTTGTCTGCTGATCCACACGCCCTCACACGTCCTCCGTCACATTTGAAACAAGCCACGCCAAGTGGCTTCCGCTAAAGCAAGAACCAGTCAATCATCAATCAAATTTCGAGTTCCTCGACTGCTGGGTCTTACCTGGATTTGGTTAGATCGATTAGATAATACTTTTATTCTGGCCCGTGCTTCCACGCTTTTAAAGATCACGTGCTCTCCACACCCGTTGCCTCGCGCTCTAACCTGGGTCCCTCAGTCTCGAACCTGGATTCTTACTGTGTTTTTCGATTTTGTTTCTAATTTCTTCAGTTAACTAACCTGTAGCAGGCTATCTGCCGGGTTGATCGATAATACATTTTCTAGCATGACCTGGTGATGTCTTCACGATACCCCCCATTGTCTGGGTTTAATTCCCGCGACAGATCTCCGCAGCGCTTCGGTGACCGTCGACCTCCTGCCGGCCCTCGAGGCTCTGATGATGCGAATCTGCCCCCGCTGGGCCGAGAGCCACCCCGGGGTCCAAAGGCGTTAATCGATCCTCCTCGGGGAGCTCCCTTTGGTGGTCGAGGTCGAGGATATCCGGGCCGTGGGGATTTTCGGGATCGGGATCGGGATCTTCGAGATAGGGACAGAGACCGTGATCGTGATTTTCGAGATGTTCGTGATGGACCTCCTCCGTTCCGCCGCGATCTTGACCGCGACTGGGGTCGTCGCGACCGGGACTTTGACCCCAGAGATTCACGAATCGGCTTTGGTCGCGGTCGCTCTCGTTCCCCGCCTCCTCCTCGCGACTTTCGCGACATGAGAGAACCTATTGGGAGAGATCCGGATCTGGTGCGGATGCGACGCGGCTCCAGAGACAGCCTCCTTTCAGTATCATCGACTACTGCGGACATCCCTTCCTCAGGGCCCGGTCATCATCCTCGCGGTGGGCCTATGCGTGGTCGTGGGCGAGGGGATTGGGATGTTGGGCGTGGGCGCGGCCGCATCCCTTATCTGGACGACCGTGACTCCTTCCGACGTCGAAGTCGTTCACGAGATGGCCGATGGGACCGTGATCGAGAAAGGGATCGTATTATGGACCGAGATAGGGACCGCGACCGCGAACGTGATCGAGACCGCGACCGAGACCGAGATCGCGATCGCGACCGTGAGAGAGAGCGTATAATGGACCGCGACCGAGAGATTGATCGCCGTGACCGCGAAAGAGACAGGGAGCTGGATCGTCGTGAAAGATTTGAACGTCGCGATGAACTTGATCGACGTATGGAACGTGACGATCGAGACAGACCAGCCGATCTTTGGAAGAGAGATCCCCCCCCGAGTCGAAATGAAAATCGTATTCCCAGCATTTCAGCAGCACCGCCTGTTCCCCCGGCTCTACATACAAGCCCTGCAACATCCGATCGAGTTCCCGACCACCCTAACGTTGAACAGACCCGCAAACCGTCCATAGCCGAGCCTCGGCGTGACCCCGAACGATCTGAACGGCCTGAACCTACTGTACCTCGCCCAGAGCCCCCCAAAGAATTTCACACTCCTATCAAGCGGTCGCCGCCCCCTGCGGCTCCGCAGGTCCCGGCGTTTGGCTCTGTTACTGCACCTATCCCCGATTTGTCTGCAGAGAAGAGGCTATCCGATGCAGGTGCGGCGCTTCCATCAGCCCCAAAGGTAGAGAAAGAGCATCATGAACCTTTATTGCGCGGGCCTATACAGCCTCCAACGGGTCCTAAAGCTTCCCGAACTTCTCCCCAACAACCGCTGGAGCAAAGAATTCGACGTGATGAGACTCTTGATACTTCGAGTAAACATGAACCAGTGGCACGCACCTCCAAACCTCATTCCGTGGCACCTGCTAGTGCACAGAGGCAACCGGACCTTTCCCCACCCACTGCCCCTGCGGCTATGGCCAGCAAAGAGCCTCCAGCATCGCAAGTAGAGACGCCTTTGGCCAACAAGTCCGGGCCTATCGTCAGCTCCCCAGAGCTTTCGGCAAGAGGCCCACCTTCAGCCAATCGCGGACCATCGCCTGGTCCACACACATCGCCTCTTATGCATTCGTCAAGTATACCTACGGGCCCGCGTGCTCTTCAACAGCGACCATCCGTATCCCGTGGGCCACCTAAAAGTAACAAACAGTGGGTTCGCCCTGGCTACAGGGGCCCTCCTCCTGCGCCTAATTCCATTGTCACTCCAAAGCGTGATTCCATTGATGGAAAGGAGCGGGCGTTATCTATCAGCGAGGAACCTAAGCGAGAACAGCGCATGTCGATCGATGACAGCATGTCGGGCCCTGAAGCTGGAGAGATCGTCCCTGGGAAGGAGAAACAAGAATCCAAGCGAGAGCCATCGCCTGTATCGCCCGAACGCTCCAAGCCTTCCAGTGCTCGCGTCCCTAGTCCCGGCTTACTTCCTACGGAAGATGTCGGGCCTAAAGAGAAAACCACTGGAGACAAAACCAATGTTGTCATCCCAGACTTTAGTCGGACCAGCGATGAAGACGAAGATGAAAATGTTGTTTTTACGCAAGAGTACCTGGAGGAGCGAAAGCGAACTTTTGAGAAGGACATGCGAGCGTTGCGCGCGGAATTGCCCCCTCCGCCACTACAAGATCCGAATATTGTTGCACTGCTCCTGCGCATTCAATTGTTGGGAACGATTGCCAATGATGTGGCTCCAGAGAGGGCCCCAACTCTACCACCGCCAGCTAATAAAATTGAAGCCGAAGATCAACAGGAAGTAATTATTCCTCCCGAGGTCAAGCTGGATAAGGATGCCGAAGACCAGGAATCATCAGCTAAGCTGGTCCTGGATTCACTCCCTGCAGCTGATTCTATCACCGTCGAGAGCCTGCCATTCCTGAATTCCGGCCCCCCAACTCCTCTTTCCGATCTTGACATTTATCAAGAAAATGCCAAAGCTCATCAGTCAATTAAGGAAGTCTTTCGTGGAGAGATGATGAAACGCCGGAAAGAGATTGCCAGGAAGAACCTTAGTTTACAACATGATTACGTAGATTTGTACAAGGAATGGCGACTCCGAGTGCATGATCTGGATCGCGCGAAAGAGAAGAATTCACTGACGCCAGGCCCCGTGTCCCCCCCAGGCACTGCAATAGCAACACCTACCACCGCTGAAGGAAGGAGATACAAGGGAAACAGTGAGCTTGATTTCCAGAATGCCCTCCGAGCTTCAGAAATCTCCGCCCAGGAGGAACTTGAACGGCGACGTGGGAACAAGGCTACTGCCCAACCAGATCTTTCTCGTGAGGCTGTGATTCCAGATATGCTCGAGCTGGACGAAGCAAGGGCACGCGTGTATAAGGATACGAATAACATAATCGATCCTGATAAGGCTATGGATGTCTTCGGATTTATTCCACCACCTAACGACTTCTCTCCTGAGGAACATGAGATCTTTACTGATGCGTTCATGGCTCATCCGAAGAAATGGGGTAAGATTGCCGAGTCTTTGCCTGGGCGAGATTTCCGGCAATGTATCATCCATTATTATCTCACCAAAGAAGAGATCAAGTATAAGGCCAAGCTCAACAAGCGCTGGAGTCGACGTGGTCGTGCCAGAAGGTCTGCCCGACCAAAGTCCAACGCTCTGATGGCTGATCTGGGGGTTGTTAAGCCGGATTATGAAGGCGAGGAGGAGCCTGCTCCCGTTACAGATACTGGCCGACCACGGCGTGCTGCAGCGCCCACCTTTGGCGACTCTTCTGCTGATACGGAGCATACCAGCAATGGTCGTCGGGGAGCCAAGGATGGCGATCAACCAGAGAAACCCGCTAGCCGACGAGGCCGTACCGGTGCAGGTTCTCGTGGAGGTCGACGGGGCAAAGTAGCTCAGCAGCAGCAGCAGCAGCAGCAGCAGCAGCAGCAACAGCAACAGCAACAACAACAACAATTACAATTACAACTACAACAACAACAGCTACAACAGCTACAACAGCAGCAGCTACAACCACAGCCACAGCAATTGCAACAACCCATCCAGGCAGAGCAGCCGATCCAGAATGTGACAATGGCGCCAATCGCGCCTTCTGCTGGGGCTATCCCCAAATTGGAGGTGCCCGAACCATCCATGGATGGTGCGAACGAAGCGGCGATGGTGCGGGCCAGAGAACCGTCCGAGAAACCGGTGGCAGAGATGCCCCCACGGGCGAGGTCCGGGCGTGGCCGTCAGAAAGAAGGGGTGCTGGTTTTTGAGTCGGCGGAACAGGAGACTCCGACATCTACCAGGCAGTCAGAGGTAGGATATGGGTCACTGCAACCTACTAGCTACTGGTCTG